ATACGAAAATATCCACTTTTGCCAGCTCGAACAACTAAAGCTTCCTGAGTATTGAATTTTGTGTGTGGGTATCCGAACTGTATTTTAGGGTCATGGAATCAGTAAATTTGCACTTAAGAGTTCCATATAGGAATCTTTTGTTCTACGACTTTTGGAAAAAGCCGCTACTTTAGCGGGAAAAAAGCTAAAAATGGCTAAATTTCGTTAGTTTGTAAGTTCTACACTACTAAAGGTACAGACATGTGCCATACCTCGTTTAAAAGGTATTTTGAAATACTTAAACGCCTTTTTAACTTAATTTGTTTAAATACAATGGCTTACAAATTATGATTGACCAATTTAAATTTAAATGTATATATTAGCTCCTATGAGAACAAATGTAAACAAACAAAAACTTCTGATATCAAATAAAAACACCTCTTAACGAGGTAAAAAACTAGTGACGATCGCACCTTCAACATACAAAAGTTCTGATATCAACATTTGTGACGAAAAATTATTACACTCGTCATTAAATAGACTTTCTAATATTTTTTCATTCGGCACGCTGCAATAGAAAATGCCTGTGAAGGGAAAAAGGCTGGAATAGTTTGCTAGGGCGGGCCGAATGAGAAAATATTAGAAAGTCTATTTAATGACGAGTGTAATAATTTTTCGTCACAAATGTTGATATCAGAACTTTTGTATGTTGAAGGTGCGATCGTCACTAGTTTTTTACCTCGTTAAGAGGTGTTTTTATTTGATTCTATTATATCTAGAAATTCTTCTTGAAAACTTTTCTTAAAATATATCCTTATATCCTATATCATATCCAACTATAAACGCTTTGTGCAACTACCAATTTAATTACAGTTCCTGTTGGCAAAACACCGCCCTCCTACTTGCAACGGAGAAGCTTCCTTCTTCCTCCCCAGCAATCCGTGTTTGCCATTCTGCATCCTTTCGATGAGAATCCACGTCCTTCATCAGTGCATCTCATGCATATATCCATAAACCATTTAAGCAGCACATTGACAATTTCCAATATTTAGACACAGACAACTACTAATAATCGTGTTTGGCCGGCGTAAAGCGAGCATGCAGTTGGCAAATAGTCGACATATCCCAGATGAAACTATCCATCCATCCATCATCATTGGATCCAATGGATAATTAACACTGCTGGCGAATCGAGAGGCAGCGATCTATTTGAAACCGTTTGCCCTGCAATAATTAATATGCCCAACGTGCAGCAAAAGGGGGTTTTCAGTGGCTAAAAAGGGGGTTTCAGGGTGAAAATGGTTCGGGTTTGGTGGGCCATAAAAGGCGTTAAATTGACACAATTGAACACACCCTTGAGATTCGAGTGAGTGAGGGTTTTCTCACTCGTTTGTTTGCAATTGCCGCTGCAGGAACTGAATGTTGCTGCGGGGTTTATGGTGTTGCTGCTGTGCGTGTTGCTGTTGCTGCTGTTCCTGCGGTGGGGGTGCATGTTTAATCGCAACATCTTCATCATTGCGGCACCGCGAAAATTCGAATCCGCGAAACAAGTCAGCGATGTGAAAATGTATCCCAAAACAATGAGATGAGCTGACAATACATCCCTGCTTATAAAACCCCCTCTCATATTTGTCCTTTGCAAATATGGGCGACAATTGATATTTGGCGTTTAAATGCGATTCCAAAAACGTGACAGCATTATGAAGGAGATGAGATGGCAAAATTATGATATTAATAGGATGAGTACTGCTAGAGAATTTAAAGAGAAAGGAGTGATAAGAAATATTTACTTAGAATTTAATTGAGATCTTTAAGAGAAAATATGAGAGAACAATAGCAAAATGCATTTAATATATATTATACCAAAAAACTCTGAAGATCTAAGAACATATTTATCTTTAAAGAACATATTTATCTAATGACAACATTTAGAAGCATTTACCTAGAAGTTTAAGGCTAGAACAATCGATAAATGTATTTAATTTATTGCAAATTATCAAAAATTAAAATTATATTTTTTTATTAAATGAAATTTTTTATTAAATGTCAAATTCTTTAAAATATTAAAATAATTCTAATTATTTTCCTTATTAAGACACATATTATTTATTACCAATTTATTTTCTAGTTATTACAAAAATTTACATTTAAAGTGGGTTATTTAAAGGGGTTTCATCGCCAACGAACGTTAATTGACTTGAATGGGGATCCGCCCAAAGTTAATTCCTTTTTTATTTAGTAATTACTTTTAGATCTCTATAAACCAAGAACAAATGCATTTTCACTGGGATACCACTTGAATTCAACTACCCCACCCCCAAAAAAAACCTGCAACTTTCATAGATCGAAAATGCCTGCAAACCCGACGACTGTCAAAACAGGCAAACAAATTGTGCAAATAAGTCGGGGAAATGTTATTTATGCTCGCAAGATTTTCTGTGATTAAATAACTAAGGCCCCCGAAGTCCATTCCCCTCGACAGTTGTTTAGTTGCGGTTGTAGAATGACAGGAGTTGGAGAGTTGGAGGCTCGGGCTCAGCTGAGCTCCAAATGTGTCAGCATCGGTTGCATATTAATGGCCCGGAGGTGTGCATGCCAATTGTCATGCGCTGAAATGCTTGTTAACAACGTCGATTGCTTTTGGGCAACCAGTCGTCGTCTATATCCCCAGTCCCCCAACCACATCCCATCCACATCCTCATCCTCATCCACTTCCAGCCAAATCCAACTCCCTCTCCCACTTTTTCCTTTTTTAATCAAAAAGAAGTCGATGCTCCTGACTCCTGACTCCAGAATTCAGCATCCAGACTCCTCCCCCGTGGCAATAACGCCACACATTTGTAATGTTGCTTCTGTTTTTGGCTGAAAGAGGAGCCCAGGAAGCAGCAGAGACAGCCAAGGAACTGCATTGGATGCTTACACTGGGAGAAATGGTCTAGCTACAAAGAAAATATTACACTCCAATATTATGAGCTATATTTAAGATCTTGCCATAAAGAAAAAATATCACTTTAATATTGTTATATTGTTAATATTATGTACTATAAATTTTATTTAATTTTAAATATAGTTATATCCTAAAACTTGTAAGGATACTGCTTAATATTATAAAAGCAAGGCATTTTAAACACTTCTTAACACGGATTTCCAAACACTAAACATTTTTATGATACCACATATGCACTTCTTATGCAAATCTTAATGATATTATATTTTATACCAAAAACTTTACTGTGCTACTTTTTTAAATAAAAGATTTTATTATTTTTAGGCCATAAAAAAAAAGTTGGCAAAATACTATACTTAATATTTGAAATAGTTATTTTTCATATATTTAACATTTAAAACCCCCTTATTATTTTTCCCTGTGCATCTCTTAGATGCATTTTACAAGTTACTTTAAGGCAATCAATTTGTAGTCGAATCGCGCGGATCGCAAGAGGGCGGTTCGGGTGATGGGCTGGAAAAACCAATCAAAAGAGCGTTGCGAACGCAAATTGAACGGCAAATGGTTGCAAGATGATATTTCAATACACCAGCTTGCAGGGATCGGATCACCTGTGCTCCGAAAGTCGGAAACCCAGAAGAACCGAACAACCGAACCACCTTTCGCCTTCCCTCCCCCTTTTGGCCATCACATTTTGGCCATAAATTATCGACGGGCGACGCCTGCGCGTAGTTTTCTTACTTTTTTGCAGTTATGATTATCGCGCCAGGATGGAAATGGAGATGGTGAAAAAATTCCCGTGTGTGTGCAAACAAATGTAAAAAATTTTTAATTGACTTTTGCAGTTTTGCCAGTTGCACTTTTTATGGCCCCTCGCGTGCATGGCAGCTTAAAAGTTAATAAAACACGCCCAATGATAACAAGCCGCCAACATAACATACATATATTGCCCCTGAGGTCTTCATCATCGTTTCGTTTTTCGTTTTTCCACCAACATTGTGAGCTGATCCTTAGTTCGCGATCCTTGCTTTTTTTCGGAGCTCCGAGCTCGTAGAAAAACAATCAATTAGGCCCACAAGTAGCTCCCAACTCCAAGGGAGCGCCATAAGTCGCATTTCCCATTCCCCCCACCGAATCCACCGAAGATCATGATGGTGATGATGGGGTTTCGGATGGTTAGAATGGTTCTGCTGGAGTTGGAGTGTTGCCCAGTGGCATCGACACGACTTTGATTCTCTTTCCGCGCCGACTGGCCGCAGTTTTATGGCCTGCTTTGGCAAAATTTATGTTACATTTTTATAGTTCCAGTGTAAATTGACTTTTAAAATGCAAAAATTTATCATAGCAACGGGCTGTGGAGTGGAGTGCGCAAAGGGGAAGTCCCGTCCCGAAGCGGCAACATTAATTGCTTGGGCTGCGAAAGAACAGTGGCAACTCTGTCGGAAGCTCTGAAAAGTCACCGAAAAAAAGCTCAACGAGTGGGGCGATAAACATCTGCGCGGTTTCAAGGGGAAAACAACCCCCAAATTGTTCGGTGAAGAGGGTAAAATAAGTAACAGAACTTTTATATACCCTGAATTTTGAGAAATATTCCAATATTTAAACAGAATTTTTGAAAAGATTAAGAAAAATCTTAAAAAAAATATTTCGGGGTCACCAAATATTGATTCCTTTTTTGTACTTCAAAACTTAGTTACATTAGCAATGCCAATTTGGCATAAAAAAAATAAAATAAAAAAATAAAAAATAAAAATAAAACAAATAAATACTAAATACAACTAAAACTAACCAATTAAATAAATTAAGAAATAAAAACCTCAAATAATAAAGTAAAATCTTGAATATAAGAATTCGGGGTCACCAAAAATGTATTTGATTTGAGCAAATTATAATTATAAATAAATAAATACTAAATAAAACTAAATTGTAAGTCGGAGTCACCAAACATTAACATAACGCCTTTTAAGTTGCATTTAAAATATTGATTTACTAAAAAAGATTTATTTTTAAAATTTCAAGAACCAAACCTTATCACATAGCCAACCAACTGACGCCTAGAAAATGAAACAAAACACAGTCGTAAAAGCTCTCCACCGAGTCAAAACATTTCGCAGACCTTGGCACTCAGCGTTGTTTTATCCATATAGTGTTTTTTTTCGCTTGATTAATTCAGCAGTGCAGTTTTCAGAGGGAAAAGCTCCGGAAAAGTTTTTTGGCTGCGTGGGTGTTGTTCCGCATTCTCCACCTTTTCGCGACGTCCACAAGTCAAGTCCAATTGCATGACGAAACAGCCGCGGAACAGTTGCGTTGCTCTTTGATTAGCTGAAAGCGGGAAAAATCCATAAATTGATTGCGGGGCGAAACTCGAGGAAAACTCGGAAAAACTCCAATAAAATGTTGCTGCCGTCGGTGAGCGGTTCGTCCGCCGTGGGATGCAAGTGGAAAAACTGCTGTCGCCGAAGCTGGGAAATGATGATGGCGCCCGTATCGCCCAAGAATCTCAGGACCACGGCACTCCTTACGAGTATCTATCAGTTGGTGAGTCTTAACAGATATATCCCCTAGATAAACAGATTATATAAGAGGGATAGCAATGGATATATCAGGCGGGGCGCAGCGCACTGGCACGCAGGCGGAATTCCGGAGAATCCCTCGAGCAATCCAGGATGTGCAGCCGCGGCCCCAGGACCAAAAATTACGCACTGGATATGCAAAGCCATACCCCACTGGGCGCGCAAGGAGCCGTCGAAGGCGGCAATGGGTACGCTCGCCCCCGCCGCCACCCCCGGAAATCCAGGGGCGGGGCGAAGGGGACGCTCCTGCGGCGCAATGCGTCTGCACTTTTGTTCAAGTGATCGAGAACGTGCCAGGACGAGCACCCTTTTTATTGTTTCGCTGGGAAGTTTAGCGCGAGTCATGGCGAAAGCCGCCAAAACCAGTTGGGAATTATTGGGACAGCTTGCGGCTCTGTCGTTCAGTTCGAGGGGGTGGGGGTGAATAGGGGTGGTAGCCCCCAGCTGATCGCTGGGATGTTCCGGTTTTCGCTAAAAGTTTAGCGGTTTGAAAATTGGAGTTCTGAAAGCTCGCAGTTTAATTATAATTATATTGAAATGGTAATAAACTTACTAGCTATTACTATGACGATGCTTTTAAAATTCTTATAAATACTTAAGTTTATAAAGTATTTGCATCTTAAATTATTAAATGTATTTAAACTAAATTTTTTCGCTTATAATATTTGAGATATGAAAGCTTTCAGTTTATTCATAGCTATATTGTAATGCCAATAACTTAACCAGCTATGTGTTATATTGTTATATTATATTTATGTGTTATATTATATTTAATTTTTTTAATATGAAATTAGTTTTTAAATACCTTAAAACTTTTTTAAATTTTTTGGTATTATACCATTTTTTAAAAATATATTTCAGTCATTCAAAGTTTTTTTTCTAAATATTTTATTCACATTTCGTTTATTTTTCCCCCAGTTAATTTCGCACTGCGCTCTGTTCCTGGTTCTTTTGGGACTGGCTCATGCCGAACAGATGTGCGAGGTCCTGGAGCTGGACATCCTGGACCAGAAGGACAATGGTTTCTACAACATGTCGCCCTTCCACAATGATCTTCGCCTGCAAACGGCCGCCCAATTGGCCGCAGCCACGGAAAACCTACTCTATGTGATGGCCGGAGTGGCGGGAACCTATGCCCTGAGTGCCATATCCCTGTTCTTTGGCGTCTACAAGAATCGACCGGGATTGATTGTTCCCTGGCTGATCGTAGAGTTCCTCTTGATGGTGGGCCTGGGAGCTCTGGTTTTCATGTTGAGGGACACGAAAATGGTGCAATTGCTGGGTGGTCAAGTGCCCTACTGTAAGTTAGGATTGTAAAAAATATTTTAAAATATTTTAAAATTTTCCTTACTTTTTAAAAGTTATCATCTGCTATGTTTTGATCTGCATGGATTACTGCAAGTGGTATGTGATCCATAGTTTCTACCAGAGCTTGCGTACCATGAATAAACTCAGGGAGATTGCCACTGTGGCCATTCCTTGTCCAGCTCCAGGAGCCGTAAGTTGGTTAAATTATATATCTAAAATCTTATAAATAATCCCTATATCCCTTAGATACCCTATCGTTTCCAACGCGAGCACATGTACCTGGGCAGCAATGGTTATAAGCACATCCTAACCGAATCTCCCGATGGGCAGTGTTAAATCAGTGAGGAGAGATCGGATTTTGTTTTGGAACTTCCCCATCAGGTGTCTTGATTGCAATTGTACTACAGTTTCTGTATGGCAAAACCGAGTGTGATATGGTTAAAGAAGAGATACTATTTTAGATAGCCAACGGTTATGGTTAGAGGGGCATATTAATACATAATCGTCTATATCCCAAAAGGAAATATCGGTTTGTCGGCAAATACATAAACTATTTTTGTGTAGAACTAACTCTTAAAGTTACACCTAAATACGAATTAGGTACAAAAAAAGAAACGAATTTTAAAACAAAAAGAAAATTAGTCACAGGCTGGAATCGAACTCGGGACTTCCAAGCGAAGGTCGCACATTCTAACCACTGGGCTACGCAAAGCTTGTCTGATTTCAATTGGCATTCAAATAAATAGCAACGAAGTTTAAAGTTTCTTTTCTTTGTAGACTGTAAGAGAAATTTACTAAATATGCCTTAAATTCAGTTAAATAGCAATATTTTAAGTATTCTGGTTTTGTAGCACGGAACAAACAAACGTATAAATATCAAATAAAAGTGCAAAATTGTAACATATCCTAAGAAGTTTTTCTGAATTTTATAGATTTAATGGTACATACCTTTTAAGAAATTGTAAAACTGGTAGTTAGTTTTTGGTGCTTTTATTATTTGGCCTCAGCTACAGATGCATTTTATCTTAAACTTTTGGTTTATCTATTTAGCCTACAGCTTAATCCTCTCGTTTCTTAACCCTTCCTTCCCTTTGGCTTCACAATTGGTGGTGCCACAGTGGTTCCAGCAGTGGTGGTGCTTGGAGTACTAGCTCCCATTAGACTCATATCATTATCCAAGTTGTCCATTACAAAATCCACCACTGTGATATTGGTAGTCCCCTCAGAATCTCCTTTGTCAGTGGGAATACTGATCTGGAACTGCAGCAAAACCACCAGATAAGTGACCATGGTGGTTAGGAGTCCCTTAAAGAGACTCCTGTTCACATCGAAAAAGCCACCGCAATTTATGGTCGAGGGATTCATTTCGGTGGCTCGCAAAAACATATTTATCTCCGTCTGGGCATCCGAATTCATCCAGTTTAGCTCCACCATGAGTAGCTTCTTTTGGAAATTGGTTCGCACATTAACCGAAGCATAATGCGCCTCATCGCAGATATAGAATAGCAATCCAATGTTCCACAATGCCGTAATGGTCAATCCTATATCCTTGATGCCAAATCCCTCGGAGAGCTGCGACATAAGTCCATAAATCGATAGCGTGATGATGAAGAACAGGTAAAGACTCATGAAAACAAAGGTGTAGCACATGGCGTTTCCAGTATCCCGGGTAAGTTTGCTCAGCCGAAGCCACAAAACCCGATAATCCGCCACCATGGCAGCGGGTCCAATGTGTTTCAGGGCCTTCTGGAACCTCTCCGCCAGCAAATGGGCCGTAATACTCATGGCCTCGCAAATGAGGAACCACCAGGCACCCAACATGGCCGTCAAGTTATCCAGAATGCAGTAGGGCACCACCTGATTGATGTTCAAATCCGACATGGTAATGTGGGTGATGACTACCGATAGAACGGACAGTATCGGCAACACGGTGGCTATGTAAACCGCCTTTTGTCGGAGTTTTAAGGGCAAACTATGTCCGGAAATCTGGTAGTACAACACCTCGAAGTCATCCCAATCATTGAAGAGTTTGGCTATTTTCCTGGCCTCGTACCACAGGATGGGTATAATCATGATGGGCAGGATGTTGACCAGGAACAAGTAGGCAATCACCGCCTCCTCGAAGGGTCCACTCAGGGATCGAACGATGTGGATGCGGTTGTTGGCCACATAGCCCACGTAGCACTGGAAAATTAGTTATACAAGTTAGATATTAGTATTTACTTTGTATATTTTAAATTATTACATTTTTTTTCTATTTGAATGTGCTTTTTTTTTAGTCATAATGTGCTTTTTAGATTGTTATTTATGAGAAATATTATTTTTATTTTTTAAAGAACTCAATAAAAACATATAAAATTGTTGATAAACTCTAAAAAACTTTAAAAATTCTTTGGGCACTGGATATTGTTGAGTTTCAAAAACTGAGAACGAATTTATTTTCCATAAAATGAGTATGTGATTGAAATATTTCAATTTTTTTTAAAAATTAATCACTTTTACAATTACTGTTCTTTTTTAGGGAATTTATAAAAATTGTCTCTTTGAAAGGTTATCAAAAATACAAAACTTTGTAAACACTCTTAAAAAATTTTATAAAATGTTTGGCACTGAAAATTTTTGAAATTATATAACTTTTAGGTTTTTTTTTTGAGTTTAGAAAATTGGGAAAGATATTTTTTTCCATTAAATCCAACTGTGTTTCAAACTGTTCAATGTCTTTAAAGATATAGGAGTTTAAAAGTTTTTGTTTCATAGAATCAACACTCACCGCCAGGAGCACAAAGAAAACCACTGAGTAAATAAAGGAGGCGGAGCTCATTTCGAACTTGGCACGGGCAGGACCACGTCGCACTATGGGTAATACTCCAATAATCCTTAAGAACCAGTTGACAGGAGCAATGTTCCTGTAGAAAACACTCTGGAATAGGGACGATATTCAGCTTTAAAAAGGAAACTTTGGATCAGAAAGAAACCTTACTCACCGGAGTAAATTCCGGATTATTGGAGGCCGTGCTGTCGGAGCTCTTTTTCCTGTCCATCGGAGGAGCTTCATAATCCGCATCCAAGCGCTCTGCCAATCCAATGGAGTACTTCCTTACCCCGTACAAATATGCCTGGGCATTGGCACTATTCAGGGGCTTTGCGTTGAGGAACACCGCGTCGGCTTTCTTGCGTCGATAGTAGTTGGCCATTCCTGGAGAGACTGTCTTCGGAATTCCCGTGTCCGTGGCCTTTTAAAACTTTTGCCAACCAGACGGAGGCATTAGCCATGCACCTGGACACACGCCCCCATATCGACCACGCCCCCTGTTGACTTAGAGCCGGAGTTTTAGTTTCCTGTTGATGTGCGTTGTTTGTCTTTTGAATGCATTAACCTTAGCCCGGTGTCCCAATTTCGAATTTGTGTCAATGGCGCGCAGTTGGCGATTTGCAACACTTGAATTTTTTAGTATTTTTTGGATTTTTTAGTATTTTTTCAGGATGTAAGATATTTTGAAAGAAGATTATTTATTTTATTTAAGTTTTTTAAATAATATTTCTATTTTGTTATTCCATAATTATCTAGAAACACAAATAATTTAATCAAATTAAATAAAAGTAACGGTATCTGCTGAGTTCAACACTCTGGTCACACTTTTGGGTGTGGGTGAATAAAAGATAAATAATAATAATACTTAAAAATGGACAGGGAAAAGTTGATAGTGCCCAATCAAATTGGCTACCTGATCCTCAAGGAAGATGGAGCCGTCCTGGAATCGGGAGGAGAACTCAAGAACGATGAGCACAGTGCAGATGTGATAATGGGGCTGCTGAATCTCACAGAGAGGTGGGTTTTGAATCACAAATATCATAGGGATTCCATTAGTAATATTTTAAATACGTATATTTCCCAGCATCGACGAGTCCTTCATGCCGAACAGCAGTTGTGAGAGGATCACCATCGACTACGAGCAGCACTACTACAGCATCTGCATGTCCAATCGTCGGATTTACATAGTTAAGATCAGCAAATCCCAGAATGGAGTCACCACCACGACCACGAGCTCCTCCTCGTCCAATAGTGTCTACAATGATGCCAGCGATTCCGGGGCGGTGCTGGCTTGAAATCCGGATACTCTGGATGCCCGGTTGCCCACTTGCCGATTCTGTTGGCAGGGCAACCCACAAAGACCCCACAATTGGCGCACTCCCATCCTCTATCTGATCCTCCTCTTTATTTGTCAAAAAATACATCATCTGTGAGCTCCTGCTCGAAAATCCGTCTCGCTTCCTGGGTGACATCCAATAGAGTAGCCTTGCTGTTGCAAAGGATCACATAGTATTGCCTGTAGTTGCAGCGACGCTTCACAATCCAATAGTCATTGGTGGTCTTTACTTGCAGCTCCTCAGCGGGAGCACTCTCCATTTCCTCTTTCCCGCTTGGATTGGCCAAATCCGCTATGATACTAAGCACATTGCGGGGCAATCCTTGGGGCAGGTGCCTCTGGAAGTTGGTGTGATGCTGCAGACTCTGTTCGTTGATGAATAGGTACTTGGGCGACATTTCGCTGTTCTCCTGACCTGTGGCTCCACCCACTGCCTCTTTTGTTAGCTCACTGGTTATATCGCGGGCTAGGGAAGTCAATTGGGGAGCCATGTAGCCATGGAGTTCGTCGTAAAGCTCTTGTTTGGGTGCCGGTTGGTCAGCTAAAAGTTAAGGAGGGTTAATATTGGTTACATAGTTAGTGATTCCAACTTACCATCCAAAAACAGGCAGAGTGTGATGTGTAAAGCGCGATATATAAGCAGATAGTAGGGTTTCACTTGCTTCTCCAAGGTTACACAGACTTTTAAGGGATAATCTTCCTCACTAGCAACCTCCTGATCATCTCCCTCGCCTTTCTCCTTATTCCTCACAAATCCCCCCACCTGGCACTCACTTATGCTCCTCTTTAGCGATGGACTCACTGCCATGGAGGAGCTGCTGACCTCCGCTTTCAGCACATGCTGAATCACATACGAATGCAAACAGTAAAGATCCTCTGGCTTAAGTTTTCCGCCGCAAAGAACCTGCTCCTGGTAGAGCATTATGCTCTGTTTAATAACCGGAAAGGTTTCGCCCAGCATGCCAAAGTTTTGGGCACGCAAAAATAGCGATTTGTCCAAGGGAAGATATTGAATGGAATGCAGCATGTCGATGATATCACATTGAGCGGGGTCTTTAAGGTTACTAAGGTGAAGATCATAGAATTTAAGAAGCTCCTGGCAGAGCAGTTCCCTTCGCTTATCAGGATTGGATTCCTCACTTCCAAAAATAGAGAAACCGCCGTGTAGAAAGCGAAACATTTGATAGCATTGCCTTAGGATGGCCCTATAAATCCTGTCGGAGATCTCGGCACCCCGATAATCGGCCACCTCCACGCCCTCCTTAAGTCGCACCTCCTTGGGAACATTTAGAACCATAACTAGCCAATATCCCGGCTCTGGTTGGCAAAAAAGTTGGGTAGTTTTCTGGGTATGCAACGCCTGACAATCGTCTTCGGAGGTAAAAGTTCTGGAAAAGTGGGAAAATCACTACCATTACTCACTTCCCCGGCTAGTACAAAGTCCAATAAATACCCTGTAAACCTTATAATGGCCTCACTCAGTCCCACATCCTTGATTTTCGTGTTTAATTCAATGTCATTTGGATGGTAAAACAAAATCTTCTTGTGTTCCTATGCAAAAATTACTCATTTAGGGGCGTTTCCTTGGCCTTAAAATATTACACCCACCTCTCCTTCTATTTGGCCAAAGCTCGAGTTGAAAATGTAGAAGCTACGCAGCGTAATTTCCACGCGCTGCAATAATTTAGCCATTTTAAACCAATAATCAAATAATTTATTTTGGCAAATAATGAAAATGCACTAACGCCTCCTTTATGGTCAACCAGGGCTGCATTATACCAAATCTAGTATTTTTGGTATTTACTTGAATATCCTTAACAAAGCCGCCAAATTTAAAAGAAAATACCACCCCATTAAAAACTACAATTTTTAAACAATTGCTCATTTATTTTGTGTTTTATGAATTTGAAAAGGAAATTTGGTTATATATTTAAAGAGAAGCCGTAACTAACGTGATATCCTGGTCTGTACTGAAATTTGGAATTTTGCAATGGCCGCCCCTTCCAAAATTGAAGAAAGGGGCTTGACCGCCTTCTATTGCTTGCTAATATTTTATCTTGAATGAGTCTCGGGTAAAGTGCGTGCTAAGAATTGTGTTTATTTGGAAATGCATTCAGTTTAAGCCTGGATTCCTCCGCGGAGACGGAGCACCAAGTGCAAAGTGGACTCCTTCTGGATGTTGTAGTCGGACAAGGTGCGACCATCTTCTAGCTGTTTTCCGGCAAAGATGAGACGCTGCTGATCTGGAGGAATTCCCTCTTTGTCCTGGATCTTGGCCTTTACGTTTTCGATGGTGTCCGATGGCTCAACCTCCAGGGTGATGGTCTTGCCAGTCAAAGTCTTCACGAAGATCTGCATACCACCACGGAGACGGAGAACCAAGTGGAGGGTAGATTCCTTCTGAATGTTGTAGTCAGAAAGAGTACGCCCATCCTCAAGCTGCTTGCCAGCGAAAATGAGACGCTGCTGATCTGGGGGGATTCCCTCCTTGTCTTGGATTTTAGCCTTCACATTCTCAATCGTGTCAGAGGGTTCGACCTCCAGGGTGATGGTCTTGCCAGTGAGGGTCTTTACGAAGATCTGCATACCACCGCGAAGACGGAGAACCAGGTGAAGAGTGGATTCCTTCTGGATGTTATAATCGGACAAAGTGCGTCCATCTTCAAGCTGTTTTCCGGCGAAGATCAATCGCTGCTGGTCTGGGGGAATTCCTTCCTTATCCTGAATCTTAGCCTTGACGTTTTCGATGGTGTCTGAAGGCTCAACCTCAAGAGTGATGGTCTTGCCAGTCAAGGTCTTGACGAAGATTTGCATTCCTCCACGAAGACGGAGGACCAAATGGAGGGTAGACTCCTTCTGGATGTTGTAATCGGACAGGGTGCGTCCGTCCTCCAGTTGTTTGCCAGCGAAGATGAGACGCTGCTGATCTGGAGGGATTCCCTCCTTGTCTTGGATCTTGGCCTTTACATTCTCGATGGTGTCGGATGGCTCGACTTCCAGGGTGATGGTCTTTCCGGTCAAAGTCTTCACGAAGATCTGCATTCCTCCACGAAGACGGAGAACCAAGTGCAAAGTGGACTCTTTCTGGATGTTATAATCGGACAGGGTGCGTCCGTCCTCCAATTGTTTTCCGGCAAAGATCAATCGCTGCTGATCTGGGGGGATTCCTTCCTTATCCTGGATTTTAGCCTTCACATTCTCGATGGTATCGGAGGGTTCGACCTCCAAGGTGATGGTTTTTCCAGTGAGGGTCTTCACAAAGATCTGCATTCCACCACGGAGACGGAGGACCAAATGGAGGGTAGATTCCTTCTGAATGTTGTAATCAGAAAGAGTGCGCCCATCTTCAAGCTGCTTGCCAGCAAATATCAAACGCTGCTGATCTGGAGGAATTCCCTCCTTGTCTTGGATTTTGGCCTTCACATTCTCAATGGTGTCGGATGGCTCCACTTCAAGGGTGATAGTCTTTCCGGTCAGAGTCTTCACAAAGATCTGCATACCACCACGCAGACGAAGCACCAAGTGCAGGGTGGATTCCTTCTGGATGTTATAATCGGACAGGGTGCGTCCGTCCTCCAATTGCTTGCCAGCGAAGATCAAACGCTGCTGATCTGGGGGAATTCCCTCCTTATCCTGGATCTTGGCCTTCACATTTTCAATCGTATCGGAAGGTTCCACCTCCAAAGTGATGGTCTTGCCAGTCAAGGTCTTCACGAAGATCTGCATACCACCACGAAGACGGAGCACCAAGTGCAAAGTGGACTCCTTCTGGATGTTGTAGTCAGAAAGAGTGCGTCCGTCCTCAAGCTGCTTGCCGGCAAAAATGAGACGCTGCTGATCTGGGGGGATTCCCTCCTTATCCTGAATCTTGGCCTTCACATTCTCAATAGTGTCGGATGGCTCCACTTCAAGGGTGATAGTCTTTCCGGTCAGAGTCTTCACAAAGATCTGCATACCACCACGCAGACGAAGCACCAAGTGCAGGGTGGATTCCTTCTGGATGTTATAATCGGACAGGGTGCGTCCGTCCTCCAATTGCTTGCCAGCGAAGATCAAACGCTGCTGATCTGGGGGGATACCCTCCTTGTCTTGGATTTTAGCCTTCACATTCTCGATGGTATCAGAGGGTTCGACCTCCAGAGTGATGGTCTTTCCGGTCAAAGTCTTAACGAAGATTTGCATACCACCACGGAGACGCAGCACCAAATGAAGGGTAGATTCCTTCTGGATGTTGTAGTCGGACAGGGTGCGTCCATCTTCGAGCTGCTTTCCGGCGAAGATCAATCGCTGCTGGTCTGGGGGAATACCCTCCTTATCCTGAATCTTAGCCTTCACATTCTCAATCGTATCGGAAGGCTCCACCTCCAAGGTGATGGTCTTGCCAGTCAAGGTCTTCACAAAGATCTGCATGTTGGATTATTCTGCGAGTAGAAAATCGAGATGGAAAATCAGTATAAATTCAGATCTGTTTTCGCTGGTGAAATTACACAACTGAAGAAATTTTGAAATTTCCAGTCTGAGTAATCAAAAATTAACAGATTAATTTATCGAAGCCTGCTTTTTGAAGTTCCTATCGTTTCTTGTTCTCATTCCCCCTCCTTTCGCTTATTTGAACAAAAGGAGGTGAAGAAACTTCGGAAACAAAGAGGAATTGAGAAATTGAAAAAAACCTTTGTTCCGTTGCTTCGTCACTTTTCTTTGGTGGTGTGCGTGTGCAGCTCAAAATGCATACATACACAATTTTCGTATGTATACCGATGACGTCACAGCATTGCAAGCAATGTGAAATTTTCAGACGTGGCCTTTTTAAAGAAATGTTCTTATTTCAGCTAAAATAACACTATTACGTTAGGTGAAACCTTGAATTAATTTAACCAGTAATGCAATACACACAAAGTTGCGTGTGTATGCGTGACTTCTCGAATTTTCAGTGGCGTCACTGCGAATTTCACAATCTGCCAATAAATCTTGGCGAAAAACAATAAACACGCAGCTTTTATTTATAGATTTGTTTGTGTTTTGCTGCCAATTAATTGGGAAAAACTTATGCGTAGCTGCCAATTTCTAATTTTCTAATTACGCAGAGGGTTGAATAAGAAAAAAATACAAAATGGCGGAGGAAAAACCTTGAACTGCAGTTTTTGCTCAACTTTTCACTGCCTTTTAACTGTTATTTGTAACCGAGAAATGCGTTTATCAACTTACGTTTTCTTGTAACTTTCGAGAATGTTCTCTATATTTTACTTTTATCACCAACTAATTAAATATTATATACTTTTCGTTTGGGTTTTTATTTTTTATTTTTTGCTTACTGCTCGCTGCAATTGTCAAAAGGTTTTAAATAAGACCGTTCGCGGACGTGGCTTATATACCCTCGGTATATAAAAAGTACTAAAAAATACCGATAAAATACACCAATACACTGAAAACTATTGGGTGGCAAAACTTTTTAATAACTGTTTTCAAAATATATTTTAATTTTAGCCAACTCACTTTTTCTCTTTTTTTTTCTCAACTCACCACAATACAAAATATTAAAATATTTTCAAGACTATATCAAAACGAGACCTTGATACCGCACTGACTTGACCGGCTGAATGAAATTCTTTGCCGAGAAAACCTACTTTTACTGTGACACCGAATTCAACGCCACCTTTGCACTTACCAAAATCAAAAGTCCAAATGTGTGTTCTATGTTTTTGTATGGCACTGTTTTTTACCGACTATAATTTTGAAAGTCGCAGCTTGACTGGCAAATTTTAAAGTAATTTTGGGTGTGACTGAAGGTGTGATGTAATGAGTGTTGAGGCAACGACTGCTTTATAAATCTTTTTGATTATAAATTTCTAAACTTTGCTATTTCCACAACAACAAAGGGTCAAAGAATTTAATCTATCATGGCATATAATTAAACTAAAATTTATGCTAAATGAAATTTTAAAATTTGTAATCAAAAAAAATATAAAAACATATGTAAATTTATGTTTCAAGGCAGAAAAGCTCTTTATTTTATAAGTAGTATATGAAAAATTTCCTTTTGAAAGACCCTGGTCAAGTTATCATTGTGTTTATTGCTCTTCTGTTGTTTGGCTAAATATTTAAACAAATAATTTGATTGTCTAGCAGCGCTCCGCATGTAATTTCTACGAATATCTTGAAAGCATTTCAAAATATAAATAAAGAAACCGTTTTTTACGCGGCCCTAAAATTAAAAAAAACCAAGAAAATAAATTATTTTCGCCTCCCTGACTAAAGTGACCATATCGCGGCCCAGTGTTTTTTCGCACCTCTCTCAACGGTCATACTGCGGCCCACCTGCAATCAGCGATTTTCGATTTTCGGCTTTCGATTTTCGAATTCGAACCAGTACTGATTGCAAACCGGACAAAAACGAAAAATGGAGCTCGAGATCGTGAACGCCAAGAACAGCAAGCCCTACGGCAAGGTGAAGGTGCCCTCCGGCGCCACGCCCATCGGGGAGCTGCGCGCCCTGATCCACAAGAGCCTCAAGCAGACGCCGGATGCGAATCGCCAGTCGCTGCGCCTGGAGCTGAAGGGCAAGAGCCTGAAGGACACGGATACCCTGGAATCGCTGTCCCTGCGCACCGGCGACAAGGTCTATGTGAAGGATCTGGGGCCGCAGATCGGGTGGAAGACCGTTTTCCTGGCCGAGTACGCCGGCCCACTTATCGTATACTTGATTTTCTACTTCCGACCGGAACTGGTCTACGGCAAGGCGGCCACTCTGCCGATTTCCCTAACCACCCAGTGAGTAGCAATAGAAAGTGGTCGGTCGTAGTCTTTCCAAATCTTTCGATTTTCGACCTAATCGACCTCGTCGTCGTCGTCGTCGCCTCGACGCTTATGCAAACTAAAACGCAACTCGGCTCTGCATAATTATCCATAAACTTTGGATTTTTGGATTGGCTCACCCAGTAACCCACTTTCTTTTCTCTTGTATCTCTTTTCTGCAGCATTGCCGCCGGCTGCTACACGGTCCACTATGTGAAGCGTCTGCTGGAGACGATCTTCGTCCATAGGTTTTCACATGCCACCATGCCGCTGAGGAATCTCTTCAAGAACTGCACCTACTACTGGGGATTCACCGCCTATGTCTCCTACCACGTGAACCATCCGCAGTTCACCTCGCCCTGCATGTGCACCGTTTGGGCTGCCCTGGGTGCTTTTGCCGTACGTATATTGGGTTTATTTCCTATGGATCTGGGTTATAGGGTTCCGTAATCTACCGGTTTTTACCTATCGGAGCCCCTTTTGTTGAAAAGAGCGGGCTCTCATGTTGCAAATCTCTGTATTTCTTAATTTTTTCATTGATTTCGCATTCATTTTACCAATTTGGAAATGTTTTGATAACATTTTGCGCCAATTTTTGATTATCTTTCTTTATTTAATGGTAAAACTGATAATCATAATGACCAAATCCCATAAAGGTACCCATTTTAAACAGAATCAACTGATTACCTTAAATTCTGTGTAACTTATTGAACTTTTAACTGATAAGGTTAAGCTTAAATCTTATAAGATTAATTATAAAATTTGTCAGAATTTTCAGACCATAATTCTAATTGTCTAAATAGTTTTATTGTATTTAAATAGTGATATGTGAAGTATTATTTATTTATTAAATTAGTTTTAATAGGGAAAATCTTTATATCGACCCCTAAACTAACTGGAATTTCCCACTTTCAGCTCTGCGAACTGGGCAACTTTTCGGTGCACATTGCCCTGCGCAACCTGCGTCCGCCGGGAACCAAAGTGCGCAAGATTCCCGTGGCAGATGCAAATCCCCTGACCAAGCTGTTCAAGTGAGTAGTAAACACTAAAAAAAACCCGACTATAAAGTTTATTAATTTGCATATCTCAAATCTCCAGCTTGGTCTCGTGCCCCAACTACACGTACGAGATTGGTGCCTGGGTTTCCTTCTCCGTGCTGACTTCTTGCCTGGCCGCCTACTTGTTTGCCTTCGCCGGGGCATTCCAGATGACCGTCTGGGCCCTGGCCAAGCACCGCAACTACAGGAAGGAGTTCAAGGACTACCCCCGCCAGCGCCGCTCCATCTTCCCCTTCGTCCTGTAGGATGGATGTCGACTTTCGCAACGTATTACCTATTCCACATTACACATTTACACATTTTGGCTAGCGTTTAACAGGGTAGTTGTCTAGTGAACTTTGTGCTTTCGTTACTTTAAAGCAAATACAAATTGGAGAAGCGTACATACGTTCGGCTGTTGTGCATTTTTTCGCCGCTTTTTGGACTTTGATCGCATGGGCAGTTCGATGGAGCGCGGGTAATCAGTAATCATAGTTTATTTGGGGTCTTTAAAAGGTGCGCCAGGTGTGAGGTTTAGAAAAAAAATATATGGAAGCGTTCTAAATTGAATTTAACAATTGGTTAATTTTTTAGTGGTTGTAAAGGTGGTTTTATGCATTGTTTTTAGGTAATATAATTATGTTGACATCAAAAGTTCAGAGTTTTTGGTCTTTTGTTAGTGTTTTTCTTTTTTATTGCAATAGCTTACATTAATCTTTACCAAAATAGATGTAACATGAATATATTTTTTATTCATCTTAAACAAACATTCAAAATACGCGCCTTGTAGAGTTGCCACTTAGCCAAGTTTTTCACAGCTTGCCAACCCTAGCCAAGTTAAGTTGGCTGCGGCTGTTGATTTTTTGTTTACATTTTGCCGGCAAATCGAAAATTGGAATTTAAATAATTAAAATAAGCATGAATCTGTTCGAGGAGCTGGACACCTTGGACCCCTCCTCCAAGGTGGAACCGCCCCGCATCGAGACGCCCACGGCGCACAAGATAACCGTGCTGATACTGCTCAAACAGTATGTGATTGTAGGTGCTTCCAGATTTTACCCTTTAAAAACCCCCTACTCATCCAGGTTTTTCTTAATTTTAAAGAATAAAAAGTCCTGCCTGGATACTGGCATATCGATGCGCACCCAGCGACGTCGCATGTTCTATATGCTGGTTTTTAAGCTCGTCCAGGAGGCGGATAAGAGCTACAATGAGCTACACAGCATGCTGACCACCGGGAGATACAAACTGGACACCTTGATGCTGGAATCCTTTGAAAAAGCCATGTCAGAGTTCTGTGCCGGCAGCATAGAGTCCCTTTTCGACTTCACCGAGATCCAGAACATCGATGAGATCCTCAACGAAAACTACGGCATTAGCCAGTTCAGCATGGTGGGCGTATACGTGCGCAGAGTGGGCGTGGTTTTGGAGCGCCTCAGTTTCCCCGAAATGATGGATATGTACAAGAATATCTGCTCCTATTATGAAAGGGGTGTGCGAGCAGCTGCCTCGGGCTCCAGAATGGCCGTAGCTGGGGGAATTCTCCACCGGGAGGAGACTCCTCCACCAAATCAGCTAGGAGAAAAGCCTGCTGATCCGGAAACCAAGAAAAAAGAGGAGGCCATCGCTCGTCTGGCCCAGGAACGCAATCCCCTGAGCAAGTGGGCGCCCAAGCAGGCCAAGTTCTTCATCAACAAGCAGTCTGAGCTCCTGGAGAGCAACGAACGCAAGGCTTTGCCGCCGTTGGAGCTGCAGAAGAAGGTGCAGGAGATCATACACGACCTGCCGCTCATAACCACTCCCTATTTCCTGGGCTACATGAACCAGTTGAGGGTGAGGGACTACTATAACGCCCTGTCCGCTCTTCACAGAGCTCTGGATCGGAGTCCCGTGCGACTGATGAGCCAGGAGAAGGGCTACCAGTACTTTTGCGTCAATCTGGCCGTGCTACATGCCACCTTTGGTCATCGCGATGAGGCTTTAGCTGCTCTCAGGGAGAGCATAATGCTGGCCCAGGAGCACGGCGACAAAAGGAGCCTTAATCTGGCCAACACTTGGTACTGCCTGCTCAGGGATGAGCTGCCCTTGTCCGCGGTCCAGAAGAGCGTGCAGGAGGCCAACGAAGTGGATGGTTCCCTGCTGCAAAACTATACATTAGCTCTCCATTTCGCTGTTAAACTGGGCACCGTGGCTGGCTATCAGCCGCTGCGACTCTTCGATCTCCTGCAGCACAGCGATAATCTCACCAATCGAAATAATTTTACAGATCCCCCTTCAGAGGCTTTGGCTCTGAGAAGTGCTGTTTGGTCTGCCTATGGAAAACACGAGCTAGCTGCCTTGTACTCGCAGGTTTTGCTAACAGCAAGAGATCGTTTTGGAAACGGTTCAGCGGGTTTGGGCAGCGCCTTGGCCAGCTACGCTCTGTGGCTTCAGTTGCAGGGCGAACCGCAGCTAGCCAAAGTACTTCTACACCGAGCGAAAGAGCGCTTTCCAAGGTTACCCAGTGCCGAGGGCTGGATGATCAGCCAGTGCCATGTGGTCATCCAGGCGGGAATCTACCAGTGCCGCTGGCATGATGCCTTAAAGGCCTGCGATCAGCTCTATTTGCTCGATCCCTCGGATGCTATAATGCAACGGGCTGCTATTTACGTGGCCAAAAGGGAGTTCTTTAATGCCAGGCGACTGTTGGACAAACTGGCCACCCAGGATAATTTACCCTTCCTGCTGCGCATGAGGGTTCAAGTCCTTCTGGGCTATTGCGGCATGGCAGACGGGCGCTTTTCGAGTGAAACTACCATGCTACTGCTACGCGTGGCCGAGGAAATGGCCGAGTCGCAGATGGATTACGAACTGGCATTGGTGGATCTCCTTTTGGCCCAACAACTGCTGCTTCTGGGGATGCCACAGAAGGCCTATCAGGCCATCAAGCGCTGCATGCACGACATTCACATTAATGGAGGCCTCTATGAGCGTGCCAAAACGGATTTCGTCTTTGTTCGCTGCCTTCTGGCCATCAATCAAAATAATGTGGAGGAACGCAAGGCGCAGCTCGTTAAATCGCTGGACATCCTAGAGCGAGCGGCTCAGTCGTTCAAGAAACTATCTGCCCATGCCAAAGTTTTGGATGTTTATGTGTTTCTCGCCCAGCGATTCAACGAATTTGGGGAGAGAAATTTGAGGAACAAATATGCAGGGGAGTTTAGACGCTACTTTACGGATCATCCGATTCCAAGGGAATATCTGGGTAGTCCTTAGTTTCTAACTTACTAATAAATAAATATAAATTAGAGCCCTGCGTGAATTGTTTAATTCAATTCTATGTAAAATATATTAAATGTTTTTCTAATTCATTTCGAATTGAATAATTGTATGAATTTGCTAGATTTTTTTGTGCTTTCTTTTGAAAACAAAAAGTAGACAATTTTTAACAAATCAATTCTAACTGCTTAGTAAATAAAATTCAGGCAGATTTAATCACAAAATTATGGCCCTTTCTTCGTCAAAAGAAATTGCAGTTTGAATTATATCGGAATCATTCATTCGATTCTATTAAACTCAAAATTCATTTAATTCTATTAATTAAAACAAAAAAATTCAAAATAATAATAATTTAATCCATTCATGCAGGGCTCTCACCTAAATACATCGTATTAAATATGAGAACAACTAACTTTTAACTATTAATAAACGTAGTTTTATTAATTGGTTTAAACCGTAGTGGTTGCTTTGTTTATACACTGTACGCCAACTACAATGCTAACACCTATCTGAAGTTTTGCAACTGTTCGTTTCGATCGAAGAGGACGTCTGCTTTTTCTTTTAATTGCCGGTAGTTCCGATTGTGTGTGGATGCGTAAATGCTGGTCTATGAATGGAGTGGCATTTGGATAAGGAAATCGCTGGTGCTATTACTTCGGCTATTCACAGACGTCCTCCGTCTCTTCTCTCGATTTCGACTGGGATTGATTGGTATCGACAAACTTAAGCTAACGTGTGGCAATTTCCGGATTTCCGCTGCCGGTTATCGTAGAGCTAATATGCGTATGTGGTAGGTTAACGAATCAAGGGTAAGCTGGGCGAGGAGCCGCCGGGACCCATCGCGCTGCCGGGTCCCAGGAGCACCTGCTTCTGCTGCGACTTCTGCAGCTCCTCCATCTGGGCGCGCTCCGTCTCGAAGATCACCGGGGCGAACAGGATGACCGAGCTGGTGAAGAATATCCAGCTGGCGTTGCACGAGAACGTGTAGAAGCCCTTGACGCCGTTCACCGTGGCGCTGCTCACGGCACCCACCGCATTCCTCAGTGGCTCCGGGAACATCTCTGTGAGGCCCCAGAAGCGCTCGGACGCCGTCTCATCGGGTTCCTGGATTTTAAGCAAAGATATTGATTAATACATTTTATAGGAATTTGTATAATTTAATTACTAAGTAATTAGTACTATTTTTATGGAGTATGCGCAAATAAAGATAAAGATTCATCAGAAATTCTATGTATTAAAATAAGGTAAAAGGGAAATTATCCATATAAAATATATATACTAATTGAATATCTTATAGCATAATTGAATTCTAGTAATATTTTATTTTAAATAGTTTTCCAGAATTAAATATCTTATTATTAAATAATATCTTATTCAATTCTGGAAAGCTATATAACATAAAATATTACAAGAATTCAATTATGCTATAAAATATTCAACAACAAATATGGATAATTTCCCTTTTACCTTAATGCCATGCAAAGAATTTCTGATGAATCACAGTCTTTATCAATAGGCCTTAACAGATACACATTTTGTATAACGGAAAATTACTTTGGAGCATAAATATATTGAATTTTAATTTAGGAACCTAACAAAATTATTTTAAAAATTTATCTATATTTTCCAATGTTTTCTATTATTGGAGAGCTATGAACTACATAAAAATAGCAAAAAACTACTTTTAATAAACGAACAAAATATTTAAATTAAGCTTTAGTCATGATAAACTGATATTTAAATTAAAAAATACAAAATATATTTCTACATCTAAGAACTTAATGGAAAAGGTATACATATGATGACAATGAACTTTATCGAGCGCACGTTTTGGCCAACAGCTGATCAACTTGTTAGCCAAAAAACCAAAATAAAATTTCTAAATTAAGTTTAAAACTAAATACACATATTTCTAATCTCAAGACCCTATAAGACTGTTTCTTAATTTATAGAACCCCTAAAATGTCCTTATTGAGCGGTTGCCTCCTCAAGTTTGAGGTTAGATTGCGGGCTGTGTTTACAAACAGGGTCCACTTACATCATCGTAGTTCTCGCCTTGTGGCTCATTTGAAGTCTGCAAGAGATGTAAAAACAAGATGATCAGTAGAGGGTATTGAAAAGTCGGCCCTATAAGACAGCAGCTGCTACGTTTCACCGACAATTACGTGAGCACGATAAGAATTCGGGGGGCACTGGGTCTCCGAAGGGGGTTACGAGAGGCCCACGTTTTTCTACTTACGGCGGCCACTGCCCGCCGCTCGGGCGTCTCGTCCTTGCTGCCGCCCAACGACGACATCCCGCTGTCCTTTTCAATGAACTCGATTTCAGGATCAGAGTCCATCAAATCCTCGATTTTCACTGTTTCGGTATCCACTTTTGCGGCTTTAAATCAACGCACACGGTCGGAAATCGTGGGTTTCTGCTCGCTAGCAACCCTTCAACGGAACACCCAAATATCTGGTCACCGAAATCGCTCGCAAAATGCAGTTCGCACTGGCATTTAATTGAGCTTTGGCGGAATTTTCGTTCGCGGTCGCTTAAAATTTCGGTAAAATTGATTTTTATAAAAATTTACTCCTCGTGAGCAGTGTGACCGCGGAGTCAAGAAATACTTTAAATATACCAAAAATATACTAAACGCAATTGTGAGTAATCCCTTAAAACGTTTTAAATTTGAAAACCATTTAAGCTTCTTAAATTCGTCTTCTATTTTACTTAATAATACTTAAAACTTTAATTGTCGGCTTATAGAAATCTTCTTTCCCACCATCGATATACTAACCTTTCCCTCTGGTTCACTCATTGTCGTTATTCAACCGCGTTAAGAGTTTAAAAATAAAAATATACACAATATTTTGCGGAGAGCCAGAAATTTTGGAAACGTCGTCAAATCGAACAGCACAAATTTACAGGTACTATGATCTCTGGATTGTCAACTGAAACGAGGGCGGCGAAAAAGCCTACTATTGGTAATAAAACATTTATTGAGCGTTGGTGTACCGTTATTTATTATGTCACATCTCGTTTTTCGACTCGCAATCGCAGTTACAAATTATGAAATCATTTGTACCTAAACAAAAGATCTACCACCTTTTAAGTACGCATACAGATAATGTCTTAGTTTTTGGGTATTTTCGTGTTATCCCGTATCTATATAATATATAGAAGATAATATTAAGTAGTTTGACCATATAAACATAAACAGTAATCGTGTATATAAGTAGTATATTGTTGGGTAGGTATATAGTCCTGCATATAGTTGTTAAGCACATTTAGAGGTCATAAAAAACTACTGGAATTTAAGTACATTTATCGGGTATATTTCCATATTTTGGGTTAAAGTTTAGTTTGATTAGGTTTTCGATTTTTGATTAGGTTTAAATTTGCTTGCCTTTGCAGTCCTCTTGTAAATACCATACAAAAGTTGTGGTTTGCTTGTTTACTTTCCTTGTTTTAACCCATTTTGCTATTTTTTGTACCTTTGACCTGATTATATTTTCTTTACCCAACTTTATCCATAAAATGTTTTAAATGTAAATATATATTTTAATTCTTGTTTCACTGATTTTTCAAAAGAGCACTTTTGTTAAATATATTTTTATTTGAATGTCGTTTTCTGTTGTTGTTCAACTTGTCTAAATTTTGTATCAAAAAAGGGCATACGAAATTAATTAAAAGTTTTAATTTAAAACTTATTTTTTGAAACCGCAATGCCTTAAATCGATGAGTTGTTAGTTATAAAAAATTAATTTGTATTTCTTGTTGAATTATCTATGGGACGGCAATATGCAATGGACTTGAATTTCGAAAAACAATTTGAATAGAACCAAAAGCAAATTATTAAAATTTAAAAATACTACATTTTGAACTATGTTGTTTTAGAACTCTGAAATGTTCCATTCGGGTTGTTGGTTATTGATAATATATGCTTTAATTAACATTTATCTGGTTTTTATTTCTAAGTTATAGAGCTGGAAAACATCAATATCTTTTTTTTTAGAAAAATATTGGTAATATTATTATAATCTTAAAAATGTTATAGTTTTATAATTATATCGAAATTATCGATAATTTGTTTTAATATCGATGTTTTGACAGCTCTACTCAGTAAGATCCCAACTGAAATTAAATCTTCTTTTTTCTTATATAAATTGTTAACATTTATTTCCTTATTCTAACAAATTTGAAACAATTTTTGTTTGTTTTGGGGTATTTGAAACACGCATACATTGAAAGCAGCATAACTACAATAAAATACAAATATATGAATCCAGTTTGCTGACCTCTCCGATTTTTTATATATTTTTAATGTAATTTATTATTGGTAATTTTCTCCGTTTGCCTGCTGCTCTTTATTTTTGCTGCACCCTAAACACAATATCACTCACGCGCTCAGACTTATCCGAATATGCATTTTATATGTTTATGTTTATGTTCTGTGTGTCTGTCTCTGTGTGATTTAAATCTTTTTGCAAATCATGCAAAATTAGTCTAAAGTTTCCCATTTAAATTTTCCACATGCTGATTTAACTTAATTCATAGGGAAAATGAATAATTCACTTTTTACAATCGACAAAACTTTGAAACTAATTTACATATGAATATGTTGTGTGTGTGTCTGTGTGTGTATGTGTGGGAGTTTGATGAAACTAAAACTTTATGGGTGTGTGTAAGTGTGTGTGGCCTGCCTTGCACTTTTTTCAAACCCTTGTATAAATAAGTTTTATTTTTTTGTTTTGTATAAAATTTTCAAACAATTACGTTCTGCACATTTTGTTGCATTTATAATTTTCTGCATGTCTGAGTATATTCTTAATAGCTTAACAATTATGCTGAAGTGGCGAAACTCGGGCTGCATTCCACTCGAAATTTTCGGGGTTACGGGGTAGACTCCATGCCTCCTTAATGGGCTTAAATCTGCTTAGAGCAAAAGTCTCGTAAATTCTGTAATTAAAATGAGAAAAGGAGAGTCCATTAAATGTAATTCTTTGAGCAAGAAAAATAATGCACACGATTTCCTTGTGAAAATTGTTTCTTAAATTAATGTGGTTTTACGGAAATTTATAGAAAATTTAAGTTTTTCGTACATTTTTAAAGAATGTTATTGTAAAAGGTAGAACATTTTTTTAGAGATTTAAAATATTGTTTTTTAGTTTTAAATAATGTTTTAAATATTTCTATTTTTATTCTTCTACTACTTCAATATTTTATTTAATAAAAATTTTAATATTTCTTTTCTAAATCTCTATAAATCCCAGCACCCATAAACCACAAAGCCAAAGTCAATTTGGTGATCAAATTAAATGAAATAAACCTGACATCCCGAAGAAGAGGGACCATTTCCCCCTTACAATTTTGTCCAGCGAGGCAAAAACATTTTACAGATGGGATAGCCAAACTATATAAGCTGTCGCCTCGGGTAATCACGCCTCCGAAGGAACGAACTACGCTTTTTATGCGATGTGGCGATTCTTCGGAGGCGGCGGACGTGTTGCTCCGGCCAATCGACCCATTCTCACGATTTTTCTGAACAGTGTCAGCAGAAAATGGAAGCGGACAGCGTTGCGTATACCGAATATACCGAACGTATAACGTATACGCAATGTTGGCCGTTGTCGGTTGCCGGTGCAAAGTAAATATGGTGAGGGCAAAGGCAAAGGCAGTAGCAGGAAAAAACAACAACAAAATGAGTAAATAAATTGCAGATGCCAGCAAACAAATGCGGGCTGCGGGCTGGGCCTTTCGAACTTTGCTGAACTGGGCGGACTTTTGTGGGAGGTCGGTTTGCTTGGGCCACTGCTGACATGTCAATGCGTTACAAGGTCAAAGTATCAACTAGCGAGGCGATGGCATATGAACCTAATGATACAGGGGATACCACAAAAGCACACACACCTCTGCAGCAGCAAAAAAAAAATTAAATAAAAAACCCAGTACAAAGAGGACACTTGAGTCGAGCATGTCCCCGTATTAGTTTAAGTTTATTAAACCAATTTAATGCCACGCAAGGGAATTTTCACGCTGCTGTTGTCCTTTTTTTGCTGTTAGTGCAGAATAATAAGTGGGCGGATCCTCAGGTGAGGTGTTTGCTGTTGCCTTTAGTCCACTTCATTCTGGGTCAACTGCATTATGGACTCTTTCATGCTGCTTTCTTTGTTTCTGTTTAGCTATTTGCTTTATCAAAAAGTTTTTATGTCTGAAACTTAAGAACAGCCAGAGACCAGAGGTCATTTTTTGACGTTACCAAAGTTTACGACTTCAAGATACCTTTTAAGAAAATATTTAAAAGTTTGGAAATTACTTAAAAACTTGAGTACCCTGAAAAAAGGTATACTTTTGGGTAACTAAAAATAGAGATTTTAAATTGAATAATTTTCCTACAAGTTTATTTTTTTAATTTTTAGATAGATTTTACTACTACAAGATAACTTTTTGAAAATTATGTTAAAGGTAAATATATTTGTGTGGAAAAATTACTTAAAAAATGTAATACCCAAAAAAATATAGTATTGCATATTTTTGGTTAACTAAGCAAGAGGTTTGAAATGGTTTAATTTTTTCTACAAGTTTTTTTTTTTAGATTTTTCGCGAATATTTAAAAAGTTATCACTGGTAGATTGATAGATTTTATGCCCACAGAAGCCCAACTACCGCATAAAATACTACTTCTAGTTTTTTAAGGACTCAATCTACACAAAAACCAAATAAACCCAGCAAAGTCGCGAGTGGTGGGTATAAAAAACTTTACGAGTAAACAAACAAATAAACCTTCGGCCGCATTAGGCGAACTCCTGTTGCTGCCTGCTACTTGAGGTTAATAAACTTTGTTGTCGCCGTATTTGTCTAGCTGATTTATGGGCGTACGGTTTTTCGGTGCGTAGGACAAATATTGACATGAGTTTGCCATATTTTATGCCATTTTTTGATTAAGGCTCAGACAGGCGTAGCTGCAACAAAAACAGGAGCAACAGGATCCGAAAATCCAATTATATATTTGCCTAAAAGTATGCTACAATATTTATGTATGGTCTTAACATCCAACGAATAAACGCAAAATTTAATTTCCTATTTTTTGTAGCATACTTTTAGACACCTTTTTAAAAAATTTATTAATTTGTTAAGTAGTAGTATTTTTTGGATATATAAAATATTTTGATTTTGAAATTCACAAATTTAGAAAATCTATCAAATAAAAAATGAATTTTAAATTCCAATTTTAAATCCCATTAAGTGACCCATTTGGATTGCTAATTTTTTCCCTGTGCACACATGTCCTTCCAAGCGAACGCCTGCGTCAGCAGTGTCCTTTGTCTGCAACTGCGGCTGCGGCGGCACTCACCCTCGTAATTGATGCGCCCATCCTGATCCAAGTCCGCGATGACCAGCAGCTGCTCCAGCTGCTGCTCGTTCAAGGGCTCCCCAATCATCTCCATGGCGGTCTGCAGCTCGTCGCGCGTTATAAACCCATTACCATCCCGATCGAATACTCTGCCGGAGGAAGGGAGTTATTACAGGGACATGGGATATATGCTAAACACTATTTAGTGTATATACCTAAATGCGGCTATCAAGTCCTCGGTGACATCATCGGCCTCGTCCACCGGCTTGCTGTCCTTGCTGTCCTCATGCGACTGCTGGTCATCCCGCAGCGCCTGGATCCTGCCCACCCACTGCAGGAACTCGGCCTCGTTGATTAAGCCATTGCCTGCGAATCGAAAGAGCAGAGAGTCTGACTGAGAAACAGGGTCCGAGGAAAATTCTGGGAAAATTCTGGTAAATCTAGACAGTAAGCTAGTGCAACAGTAGGGTTTTCCGGCCAGCGAAGACATTTTCTGGGTGCAATAATTGAGAGCACTGGGGGAAATTTTCAATAAATTATAAAATAATATTGAACTTAATGCTTCCTTAAGTTTATAATTAAATTTCCGAATGATTGACATTTTTATATTCTTTCTCACTTTGCAAAAATATATAAAATCCTTCAACATATAACTTTTCTAAGCGGCATTTTATACAATTTAAAACATAAATATTTGCTGTGTAAGAGCTGCTGGCAACATTTTCCACAAACACTTTTCCTGAGCACATGAAAAAATGCATTTTCATTGTTGGGGAAATGTTTACACGCCTCAATCCTTAGCAACGAGGACATCCTTTGTTGGCAGGATACTCGGCTGCTCGGAAGGCTTCCTCCTGTGCGCCAATCCTACAATCCTAATGCGCCCAGGTGGTGCCATTGTCAGAGGCATTTCCGGCTGAGATCTCTGGGACCATTAACATTCCAAAAAAATAGGAAAATAGAAAAAGATAGGAAAACGAAAAATCAAAACCAAAGCCAAAGGAAAAGGAAAATCCTAAGCCAAAAGCTGCAAGTGAACGCTCTCAGTGGGAATGGCTCAACTTTTCTCTGCCGCTGAAACTTTTATAATTAAACACAGAAGATACGGCGTCCGGAAAACCTTTTTTCGGCCTTGACCTTTATAAAAACACAACAACAAAAAATATCACAAAAAATATAAAAAGGAAAACAAGTGAAAAGGAACTCTCACTGTGTGAATGGCAACGAAAATGAAGTCCAAATCTGTGATAATCTCCGCTCGCATAAATTTTGGTGGCAAATGCCAGGGGATGTATAAAAAAATAAGAGCGTTTCTATATCCGTTGCTTTTTCATCTCTAATTGCAATTTGTTTGACCGAACCGCAACCATAATTAGAATTGCTAATTTATTTGTCTGTTGAAAGGAAAGAAATAGACTTGGAAGATATAAATAATTTAATTAAATGAAATCAAATGGCAATAAAGAATTTAAATAAATTTTGGTATCTTAAAAAGATGCAGGAAAAACTTCCTTAATTAGGAATAAGAAAATGAATTCGTTTGAATTAAAGTGACCTAATTATTATAAAAAGCATTAAGTATATGTCCCTATTATTTTCAAACTTTTAACTGCTTAAAAATACCTCACTGTAGCCAAAACAACCAAAGCCTCTTTGCCAAATTAAAAGATAACGATTTCTACTCAAATGTGAAGAAAAAGGATTCTTGGTAATTACGAAAAGAGCTGCGGACACTTTGTCCCCGAGTAACATTTTGTTCTTCAGTCATTTGGTGGCATCAAAAATGCATTAAGGGTCAAACAACCGATTCAGAATCCGAATCCGCATCAATTAGACAATTGCACCCAAGGAGTTCCTTGGCCCGGGGCCAGCTAACAAAACAAAGTTGCACACTCAACTCGATGGCTAAAATACAAATATTGCTCCATCGTCAACATATCAACATATCACCATGATTGCTTTGGGTATTTGCTCAAATGCTGCCACCCAACATGGTCATACATTACCCATTATTGTCATCCTCAACCTCCACGACCCCAAAACCATCTTCCTCTATTTGCCATTTTCCTGCCGCAGTTTTTCCAGCTTTTCTTGTCGCTCTGACATCTGTGTGACATTTGTGTGTCGGCGCTGCTTGGAAAATATTTTCATTTGCGCTTAGCGGCATTCATCCTACTTGAAGATCCCTTTCCCTTAAATAGGAGTAGGCTACTATGGTATTCTGAAGTAATGATTCCATTTAAATAATACAAGATTTTAAATAGGATTTTAAAAAAATTGTTAATAAATCGAAGAAAGCTTTAAATAGGCTTGGAAAACTATCGATGTTTTTAAGGGAAAATAAAAATAAAAAACGAGAAATACAAAAACTGTCGATATTTTTTCAAAGTTTTGTTTCCAATCACCTTGGTTTTAAAATCACACATAAAGGTGTCTAAAAGTATGCAGTAGAAATTAAAAACCGAGTATTAGAACGAATCTAGCTAACTTTGTTACGTACTTTTGAGCAGTTTAATAACTTATTTCTAAGGAACTCTAATATATTTTTTTACCCTCAAAAATAGGGTATCTCGTGATCAAGGATATTTCTTTCCGATTTAAGGACTGCAGGTTCTGTTAGTTTTCTTGCCTATCTCAAGGGCCAAGCCCCCATTCTTGAGAGGCCTTCCTTTCAGCTGCCTTCCTCTTAAGTTCCTCTTATTTTTTTTAATGCGAAAACCAAATGCACATTATCTCTATCTTTGCCTCTATCTGCGCCAATGTCTGTGTCAGCCTGCGAAAAGGACAAGTCCAAGGATAATGAAAATGGCTTGGTTATATGTATGTTGATGTTGACGTTGCCGCCATTGTCGTCGTTTGTCGTCCTTTTTTTCCCTTTTTTGAGCCATAAGGACGAAGGCGAGGGCGCTTCTGGCTGCGACTGTTTGTCGCACATTTCGGTAATGTCCTGCATACAACGTGTCCTGTGGAGGAGCTCCTGCCACATACATATGTCTTCTGTGCTCACTTGCCTCGTTAAGCAGAGCAACGAATTTTCAAGCTTGACCTGCAGTTGGGAGCATTTCTTGTTTCTTGGCATTGATCGATGGCTCGAAAGAAGGGCGAAAGTTTGCCAATGCAACTGCTTAAGTTTTTACATGCAGTTGAAATTATAACCCCTCATGTTCAACAATCAACAAGCTAAATACTTTAGGGAATTGAGAGTAAACAAGTCAACTTAACTAGGATTTAATTAATTATATTAAATTAAAATACAGTTTTTCTTTTTAGAAAAAAAAAAAAACGGTGGAAGGAATCTAATAATAAAAGCAATGGTTTTGGGTTGTTATTAGAATTTTTGTTAGTTAAATGGGAAACAATTAAACAACAAATTTAAAAATTAATATTACTTAAAAAGGTGGCTAAAAGTATGCAACAATTTATTTTTAATTTGAAATATCTGTCATCGAAAGATGCAGCATACTTTTTAACACATTTATAAGCATTTTTAGAAAAATCCTATAGGTTTTACTTTTCCTAGACCCATTTTTTTTTTATTTCTCTGTGAATTTTAAATATTTCTCCTTCTCAGCTGAACCTGTCACCTTTTGGGATGGCTCTATTTCAATCACAGATCCCTTACGGTTCATAGGCTGCCCTCGATGAGAGACACCCACTGACAACCGGCATAACAAATGGGCACTGCGGTCTGCCAGTGCAGTTGCTTTCGGGATCCGCCCAGAGAATCGTTGATGTGTGTGTGGCAACAACTTCATGCCAAAGTGTAATCAATTATTGGCAAATGTAGCTGCTGCTGGTTGTTGGTAGTACATACTATATAGTAGGTGACCTCATGCCACAACAGCAAACGGAAACGGAAGTTCGCCCGGGGGTTTTGCACTGTGTATTTGTGGGGGAGTTGCCAGCACTCTGGCTTGATTGTTGCTCTGCAGTCCACACATTTGGTCTTGTAAAACAGGCAATAAATGCTGACTAATACTCAGGCGAACGACTACTGCCTTTGATGGCCAATAAATTACCTTGCAGTTTGGCCATTAATTAAATTCCGACAAAAAGTCAACGCTGCGTATGTGCAATGTCTGCTGGTAATGGGCAAATTCCTTTTGCTTATATTTTTCGGCCAAGGAATGCAGCGATTTCAGGGGCTTTAACTTGAACTTTGAACTTAGTCTGGCCCATTTTGGGGGAATATTTTTGGTTTCGTTGCCAGCCATTTTCATTCCACTTGGTCTGCAATTTTCAAGGAATTTCCCGCTGCTGCTGGCATTTTAAGCAGTATTTAATTTTGGCTCCAGGCTTCCTTTAGCCCTTCGGTTATGTAAATTTCGACCAGGTTTCGCTGCTCTTCACTGAAATTCGATTTGGGGCGAATGCACCAAGGTTACTTTGGTTTTAGAGGGGTGGGTGAATTTCTGATGGTTGTGCAATTGCCACGACAGTTGTTGCTAATGTGAAGCCCAGCGGTTGTGGCTTTGGTCACGGCAAACTAATTTAACCTGGCAAAGATAGAGAGATTCCCTGTGGGCCTGGCTTTGACACTTAACAACTTGCCTAATAGGAAATTTAATGGCCTACAGCTGCCGTTTATGTGGATTTGGCGCCTAAAAGCAGGCAACACAACCTGCACCACCCACAAAATCAATTAATTTCGGCGGCTAAAAGCAGGCAACAATTATTTTTAAATGCCGCTTAGCGCTGCTCACAGAAGGAATAAATTTTTAAATGGCAATTGACCCCAGAAAATAGGTAGTAAAAATAGGAAAGTAGCAAAAAAAAAACTGTTGCTTTCGTGATCCATTCAACGCATAAATAAGGCCAAGAAAAAACTCGGCCAGGTGGTCACTTAGCTGTGTCAGAATGTCTAAATCAGCGTCTTGCCATCCCACGCTCTCCCACTTTTTTTGTGGCCCTCTTTCTCCGGGGAGAAAGTGTCATTGAATCCCCTGGAATGTTAATGAAGCCATAAAGTGCACGCTTTAAGCCAAATTCAACTGCCTGGCCGGCCCTTAATCGAAATGCTGGCCAAGTGAGTATCAAAACCAAAAAAAAACTCAAGAGGCAAGTGAGTCTTTGTCTCTGTCCTTTTGTGGCCATTTGTGGGGCAAAGTTGCTGCCGTTTTTATGTTGATTTGGTTGCCTTTGATGGGGTGCAAAGACCTTCCAAATATGCATTTTAAATCAGAAAAAGTTGTTCATTTGACAAGTGGTTATTGAAGATTATTTAGGGCTTTCAATTTTAAACTATGAAAACAAAGAACTCAAAAAGTTCATGAAACTGTACTGAAAAAATCCAAAAACCTAAAAAAATATGATTAAAATGAAAACTATTTTTTATTTAGTTGTACTGTTAGTGAAGGAAAATGAAAAACTTAAGCCTGCAGTTTTGAAAACTTAAATAAATGTGTCTAAAAGTATGCAACAAAATATTTTTTTTTCAATATTTTAGTATTTTATATTTTTTCACTGCATACCTTGTGATTTTATGATCCTTGTGATTTTTGTTTCACCCGAAATAAAAACATTTGAGATTTGGTTTGAAAATCCCTCAATTTTCTATCGGATTTGGCTATAATTTCCATTGAATTTTGCCAGCACCCCACAGCCTTTTATTTTGTTTGTCTGGCACATGTCGCTGCCTGTGTTCCGAGTATTGTTCGCTGTCAACTTACAGGTCTCCCAGAGGCCAAAACACATGTGGCAAGTGGGAAAGTGGGTAAGTGGCAGCGGGGAGTGTGTAACATTCGCCTGCTGGTGGCAGGCATCAAAACATGTCCCCCTTTTTACCTCCTAGGATCCTCCCTTGCTGTCCTGTCTACTGAGCTGTCAGCAACAGTTGCCTGCTTTTATATGATAAATGTCACTTGCCCGCAAACCAATTCCTATGAAATCCCCCAGCCATTTCGCCCGAACCTGAACGTGACCGAGTTTAAATTTACAGCATAACCAGTGCAAACTGCAGACCATCGATAAGAGCTCCTAATGCAATGGACAAATATTTAAATTACCTGTGAAGCGATTAACCGAAACTCAATTAACAGTGTCGAGCAAACAAAAGTGACACAAATGGGCTTCTGGCCACACACACTATCTTTAATTTATGCAAACACTTGGAAAATTACCACAGAAATAGCTGAGTTTTGAAAAACACTTTTAAATGTAAAAATAGGTCTCGAAAAGTATTCAGTGAATAAAGGATAGTAGTCTTCCGGTATAAATAATATCACTTTTGGGCTAAAAATATATTGTTGCATACTTTTAGACACCTAAACCCAGCTAGTTTAGTGGCACCCATCATATAAAATATTTCAGTTATTTTTGAGTGATGATAAAATATTTAATTTAAACTTAGTGTCCTCACTGCACATTGTTTCGATCAGTGCACGTTCATAAGAATTATAATAATGTCTGTTTAAGGATAAGACCATTATTATTATTGACGTGACCACGACAACAATTGCATTTTAATGTAGCAAATTCAATTTTCTGCCAGGATGACCTAATTTAATTTTAATATGCGCAACTGGGCAAAGTGATGAATGAAATAAAATAACATAAATTTTCTGCATCGCAAGAATACTCTGTCCACCCTTCGTTTAAGTTCTTCGTATATATACATCCTTATCAGGGGGAAGGAAGTGCTTTTACAGCTCTCCGTCTTGGCAGGGGAATTTATATAATAAAAAATTGCATTTCCTAACGAGTAAATTAAATGAGAAAAACTTCTGCCGCCTAGAGGCAACAGCAAAAGTAGGAAACTGGCTTAAAGCGGATTTCTTAGCTGCCATAATACTTGACTTAAATTACATTCCCTTGCAAATAAATTGTGATGCTGCAGCGTTAGAGAATGAATATTTAACAAAAAAGGTAGGCCCATAATTTAAATGTTTCATAAAGTAAAATACCAATGACTATTTCTTGTATTAAGATTAAATTCCACGGAAAATAATTGTGATTTATAAATTTAATTTAATTTATTTTTTATAATATCTAAAAAAAATATTTAAATTTAAAAGAGTAGCTTGCTTAGTTGGTCAGCGTTTCTTTAAAGCCCAGACTTCTTTAGTCTTTAATTCAAACACAAAAAAACTTATTTGTGACATTTTGTTTACCTTTGGGAAATTAAAATAAAAAACCCACTTTTTTAACCCGTGTATTTGTGTCCAGGTCTCTCGACCAGGTCTAAACTTGATTAAATGCCGTTAGAACCAATCGACATGCCTCGGTGGGTTTAATTAACGTTTCCCGGCGGTCTTTCAAATGCCACCGAGCGTCGTGAATTATTAAAGGGCAGACAAACAAACACTTTCACGGGGACAAACTGTTGCACTTTGTATTCGTTCGTCCACAGGTTGTTGGCTAGGTGGAAATGGAAGGTGAAAAGGGGAAGGACCTGGCCCATGAAGTGGTCCTCTAAGTGGCACTTACCCGAGTGGCTCGCCTCACGTATGAGATCGTGTATGAGTTCGTCACTAACATTTATGCCCAGGTTCTTTAGCATAAACTGCAGCTCGTTGGCGGTGACGCGACCGTCGCGATTTCTGTCTAGTAGATCGAATGCTGTGCGTAAATCTGGAATGATGTAGAAAAAATATTCTAATTAGTGAGGGCTTTAGAGAAAATATTATAGGAAAATATTACAAACAATTAATCGACCACAGAAGAGATTAATTAATTAATTGCAATACCAAAACCCTTAAAAATATTTTTAAAAATTAATCAAAATTCGAATGTTTATAGTTTAAAGTATATTCAAGCTCTTAACGATCAAATTAAACAGCTGGGTTTTTGAAATTGCTTTTAAATCTTAAAATAATTGTCTAAAAGTATGCTACAATACATTTTTAATCCAAAAATTAAATGAATTCATACAGGATGACGACTAGTCTTTATTCACTGCATACTTTTAGACACATATTTAATCTTATACCTTTCGGTTTTACATTTTAGAAGATAACTTTTAATCAGCTTAAAAAAATCTGAAGCTTACATAAATTTTAAGTCACTGAATTTCAACAGAAGTCAGGCCAAGTTTCTCTATAAGCTTCCACTTTACATAACCTCTTCTTAGAAAAAACATTTATTTAATCTGCCATTTAGGGCTTTTCCCAGCCCAAACCACTTTCGTTTTGTGGTTTTGCCCAGAAGGAAATTACGTATGCGCCGTGTTAGCCACAACAGCCTACTCAGGCCACATAAGTATTTACATATCAGCTGGAATGAAATGGCGTCTTAAGTTCTCACAAACCTAAAACGCAAATTTCCCAAAAAAAATTTTTAGGGGGTGAAAATGTAGGGCAAACCAAACAAACAAAAAAAAGAGTCGTAAAATGAAAGAGCAATTCTGTGAAAATGCGTGATTTCTTTTTCATGTGGGGGGAAAACTCGCGTGCTTGTTGTTGTTTGTTACTGAATTTGTAGAAATTATGGAAAGCGCGAAAAAAAAACGAGCATTGAAAAATGTTTTATCGTCTGGGGGAATTTTCTTGTTTTCCCGCTGAACAAACAAAAAATAATCGTTGCATGCTTCCAGGCTAAGACGGAAATTACTGGGTCTTAAAGGCTCATTCGGGATTTGTGGGGGTGGTGGAGTATTGGTAAATAAGTTTGGGGGTGTTTGAGCGGGGTCCTTGCACAATAATTAAGGCCTTGCGATGGCCTTCTCTGCGGCACGCCAAGAACCAAGAACCGAGACCTCAGTCAATGCCTTGTGGCCATAAAATCCAGCAAAATGTCTGGGCGGGAAATCAACGGAGCCCCAATGCCAAATCGATCAAACTTGCAGTTGGCCTGCCAAAAGGCGGCCATAAATATTGCCGTTTAGCCAAAACTTATAATTTTTCCAATCGCGCATAACTTTGCGTGCAATTTGCTATGCAACTAAGTTGGATAAAGTGAGTAATGGAGGAAGTAGGAAAATTAGACCCCTTTTAGGAATACATAGATGATAGTTACGGCCTTTATTGATATTATTATTTTTTATTTAATTTATATATTTGTAGTAAAGTAAAGGATTTAGGATCACTCTAGCAGCTGTAAAGATATTTTTCTCTACGTATAAAGTAATGTCTATCTATAAGAAAAAATTCTGAAAAAATACTTTTTTTCATGTAATAAAAAGAGCAAAAAGCAATATTATCCTTTAAAGGCAGCCGCTGGCAGGATTCCGATGCAAAGGAAAAAATGGAATAGGGAAAGAAGATATGCGAAAATTGCATGTAAATTGCTTTGGGGCAAAAGCCGCTTTTCCACCAGACCACGCCCCCGTTTTTTCCTTTTCCTCCACCCCCTTTTTCCCTCTTTCCCTTTTTCCCCTTTTTCCGGCGCTTGTATGTAGAGCACTTCCGTTGCCGTAGCTTTTGTTAATACGACCACACACACTTGAGCTGCCGTACTTGTATAGTTTGTAATTGCACACGTGTTTATACTTCAAATATTGACACATTGACACCAATATTTCACAGTGCACTGTCTGCAGCTCTAAATGGAGGAATGGAGGGAATGACAGGTGTCGGGACACTGGGACATATTGAGGTTAACCCATGGATCGGCGCATTTGATTGGCATCTAGTTAAGTTGATGTCGTCGCCTTCACATCAGACAATCCATATACCATAGACCATATACCATGTATATTTTGACGCTCAAAGCGAAATCAAATTGGTCTGTTGCTCATTTCGAAGTTTATGGCATTGACAGCGGATTGATGGCTGCGGAGGTTTAAATTCAAATTTGGGAAAAATGTATTATGGTAATTTACACCATTTCCATGAAAAAAGATTAAAGATTCAAATAAATTTTGGAGAAAGGTAAATACCATTTAATTAAAAAATTCGAGTGAACCATAATTTTAATATCATTATTCCAAAAGTATGCAATAAATTAGTTAATTAAGTAAGTAAGCATTTTTAAGTGATTTGAAAATTGTTTTTGAACCTTTGAAAATTTTATGTTAAGACATTTGACAAAAAGACAAATAATAATAATAAAATAATTATAAGTATTATTTTTTAAATGTTATTTTACTTTTGTTTTTAATAATTCTCTGTTAATAACCCATTATCCTGTTTACTTGTTAATGAATTTCCTTGGAAATTCTTTTTGACCTTCAACTAAATTGCAAACTAAGCTGGACACAGACGGTGGATGCGCGAGTGTTGGCACTAGCAATTAGCGAAAGTTTTATAATTGCCTTATTAAATCGGGACAAAGACAAACTTCGAAAGGAACCTTCAGTTTGGACCGAACCGACTCGACATTTCCATGACAAAGTCAAAGTGCGATGTGGCAGAAAGTTGGCCATCTGTAAGTGTCGCTGTAACTAATTGAGGCGACAGCTCGGGGCATTCTATTCTTTATAAGTATTCCTGGGGGCTACGAAAAGTGAAATAGGGGAATTCCCCTCACCCTACTTTTCACTGCACTTGAGCAATAAAACTTTTGTTTTTTAGGGAAGGGGTGAAAAACATTTGTTGTTTGCCCTTGTCTGTTTTGGTTTGTCGCTTATTCTTGCGTTGTCAATGAACTTGATAATTGCATTGCATCGCTCGACAGACCCTTTGGGTTCGTCCCCGGAGCCTCGTTTTCTGGGGACCCGTGTAATTGAGTTGCCAACAAAACTTGCAAAACACTTTTGTGAGGCGCACAGAGGAACCCCAATAAATTGCACTTGCACACTGTGTGAATGCCGTCGTAAATAACGCTTAAAAGTGACAAGTTTTTTAGCTCCGAAAAACTTTTGCCATCCCACACACACACACAGATATTGACGAAGGATTTGCCAGGCGAAATAAAATGCTGGGGAGGTAATTGCTCTATGCATAAACCACAGCGACCATGAAATGTGACTTAAAAGAGAGGAAGTGCCAAAGAGTTGGCCATTTCATTTTATTTCGGCCTCTGAGGTTTTCAACAGGGTCACGAAGTTCTGGGGTTATTGATATTATTCTTACTTTATACTGTAATTTTTTTATAAACACTTTTTTGAGTAAGATAACGTTAAATATCTAAAATATATCATTTTGATTAAAAGTGAAACATGGAAATTAAATCATCAATCATCAAAGTTTACTTATTTAATAAAACTTTTTTTTCTGTTAATTTTTAGTCCCATTTGGCAGCTTTTAAATAAATCCCAAATGTTTTTAAATGGCAAACCCAGATTTGTCCCTTTTATTTAGAATTTCCATGGCTATTAATAGCCTGGCAATAAGCAATATTAATCCCCTTTCATGTTCGCACTGAAATCAAATTATCCTGCACAAAGGACGCGGCTTGAACATTTTACGCGGGCTTTTCAACACTTCAAACGTGTCAAATTGAAGTGGGCGTGGGTGTACGTTCAAGAGCCTCTATTTGTCACCTACATACATATATGGGGAACTGTGTGGGAGTCGCCAGAGTACAGAATATAAAGTTGGTGAAAGACAAAACCAAAAAGTCATAACTATTCTGTGGAAAATTGGAAAGAGGAAAAGCCAAAGTGGGAGTCATGAAATTGACTTAGGGTGGGTTGAATCACAACTCAATCTGCTCCTGTTTTTGATTTACTTTGTGACGATACACTACTGTTCATGAATAGGACATAGAAAAATACAATACAATAGAATAAGTTTATATTTAAAGGAAATCTGCAAGGCTCATGGTCACACAATTAATTAAGATGATTTTTTATGAGCATGGTCACACAATATCTTTTATTTAAAGCAAAAATGACATAAAAATTATACAGAAAATCAAAATTTAATCCAAGTCATTCACTTATAACAAGGAACTGAAGTAGAGTCCCCATAGTAATAATGAGAATGTTAAATAATAATGGACTTTGTTGTCGGATGTCAAAGATAAGATACCAAGTTGTATGTTAATTCAAAGCAAATGAGCAAAAAAAGAACACAAAACAACACAACAGAAAGTTATCGTGTTGATTAGATTGGAAATTCCGTTGATTGTGTTTGATTGTGGTTCACACTTTTGTTTGTATTTCCTCGGCGAGTGGGTGGATGTACGATTTGGCATGACACACGACTCTGTTTTGTTAAATTCCCCCTGCTCTAATTTCTTTTTTAAATATTGTACACATGCATATTGGTTTTCTGTGATAATTGGCCATATCAACATCATGTGCTCGCTTAGCACTATCATGGAAATGTGTGACTGAGATAATTACAGTGGCAAAACAAAGTAGTTAATATAATAATAATAATATAATGATATGTATTTGCCCCTCTGTGTGTATTATCTTAGACATTGGATTATCTTAACTTGTGGGTATCATAAAAATAGCAAAACTTAGTGTGCGAAATAAGAGAAGAAATTATTTTTCCATACTTAGCTCACCTCGCACTTGACTTGCGATTTCTTTGTGATCCATTTCTGATGTCTTGTTTTTTCTGTTTCTCTATATCTATATAGTATTTATAGATTTAGTGTTTTGTGTTTTATTTTCGACGCTCGCTTATTTGTTATTAGCTCAATGTTTCTTTTTTCTCTCCGGCAATTATGATTTTTTGGTTTTTTTTTTGTTTTTTGCGGATGTGTGTACTTATTTGTGTCTCTGTTAACGCGGCGTA